GGGTTCGGTTAGGGTTCGGTTAGGTTTAGGTGAAGGGTTCCCTGAGGGGCAGGGAGTGCTGGGTCCTTCCCCCAGTCCTGTCTCCCTCTTCCCCCAAAGAAGAACCGCTGTGGGTGGTTTGTTCTGCCTCCACGGTCGTCATGGCGACGGCCGTAGTGGAGCGTTGTCCACTCGGACATCGTCCTATTTTTATTTTTTTTAAATAAATCCAACAAATTAAAAAAACAAACAACTGAAGGAGCAGCAACGCTGCATCAAGTGTCTATCTGGCTTAATTTGAATGTAAATTAAAATGAAATAAACCAAAACAATTTTTTTTTTAATCAGCTGAAAAAGCAGCTTATTTATATTTTTTAATCAAATAAGGTTGCCTCCAAATCACAACGTTTCCACGGTAACAGCTGTCTTCCTCAGGCTGGAGGCCACACTGGCTGCTGCTGGTGGAGATGTTCTCCACATGAGAGGCTTCCTCTGTTTATATCCTCTGTGAACTTACAAAGAAATCACCAGAACCAAAACCAGGACTCTGGTTGGAACGCATTTATGTTTTCTAAACTTCTATGCACTATAGCACTTTATCTTAATTGTTTCAACCCTCATGAACTCAATACATTACTATTTATTGCTTTTGAATGTCAGACATTCAATATCTTAACATTAATTAATTTTTTGTTTTTTGTTTTTACTTCAATTTTTTAATTTTTTAATTTTTTTGTTTTTTTTGAAAACTGCTATACACCAGTCATCATTTTTACTACTTTTATGAATTCCTATCCTTCCATCATTGTTGTAGTCCTCGTAATCCTTCATTTTCATCAATCAGTTCATTAATAACAAAATTCCTTTTGATGTACCAATTAATTAATTAATTAATTTATTGATTTAAAACCCAAATGGGGATGAATGGAGGGGGGCAGAATGGTCCAGGGAAAGGGTAAAGGTTCAAGGATGGGGGCAGGATTAGGGTTAGGTTAGGGTTAGCAAAGGGTTAGGTTCGGTTCGGGTTCCATTAGGGTTAGGTTTTGGTTAGGGTTCGGTTAGGTTAGGGTTAGGGTTAGGTTCTGGTCATGTTAGGGTTAGGGTTAGGTTCTGGTCATGTTAGGGTTAGGTTCGGTTTGGGTTAGAGTTAGGTTAGGGTTAACAAAGCGCTGAAACAAGAGTTAAAACGTAAAACAAAGTCGAGTTCTGCAGTTTGTGTCTGTTTTGTGCTGAAACATGAGCGGATGATTTAAATAAGAGAAACGATTCTGTCTGTCGTCCGATTGGCTGCACG